GCCGCTGCGGCCATCGCCTTCCCCACAGCATCCTCTGGGAGCCTCTGGAAGTCACTCAGGATCTGCACTAGTGGCACTGGCAGCGGTGTTTTGTTTCTCAGCTGTAGCTCGTGGGCATGCTTTCCCTCTCTAGGGTGGCAATTTAGTCTGGGGTGATCAGTGGCTTCACAGGAGTCGTTCCAACATCGCACTGGAGTGAGACAAGCGTCCACCCTTCCTTTTGTTTCCCTCAACGTAATGACGAGCTGGGCTCAGGCGAGCCCCTGGCAAGGAAGCTACAGGCGAGTGAATGAACATTGGCCAGGAGAGGTTAAGTTAGACAGCGCCTACAACTCTGAATGCCTCGCTGCATGTTTTGGCACTATTTTCTTACATTCCAGTTTTCATCCTAGAGGTCTTCTCTCTGTGAAGGCTGTTGCATTTTGTGCATAAAGAAATGCCCTAGGCAGTCATGCACCTCTAGTTGCAGTCTCTTTTCAAAATCTCCAGGACCTTTCTTCCGAGAGCTGACTTCCACTGATGGACAAAACTTTTCATGTTGACGATGAGTCTGCCCGTTCGGACATCCTCATGTCCTGCCACGAGGTACTCCAAGCCTGCAAACCAGCAAAGCGGTCAGGGACTGCACAGCACTATGCTTCAGAGGCCTGCTGCAAAGTCAGCCTGGACATCTAGTCCTGCCTAAAAACGCACTTATACGAAGAAATATTTATACATATTGATTCCTTCATATATCTGTATATCTATACCTCTATCTATATCTATGGAAAAATGTCCCCTGTGGAGCACCTGTCAGGGAGATGCAGTATAGAAACTTTGATTTTGTTAGTGTCTAAATGCAAGTGGAAGCTGAACTCTGGGGGCTGCACTACAAGTTTTTATACCTTGTTTGGGAACTGCCATTACCTTCATTTGGCAGCCACCTGCCTCACCCCTCCCTGAATACACCTGGGTCTGGAAATCGGTTGGTTCAGCACATTCCAGCAATGACAGCACAGGATGGCCCAGTGCTGGCATCTTGCTCAAAATGTCCGGTGCCCGCTTGCAGGCAAAGGCATGCTGGACCCTGCCGAGAGGCAATGCTAGATTTGCTGGCGCGAGCACCCCACATGAGCCTCAGGGGTGGCAGTCACACTGAAAAGAGCTGCATTAACTTCTGCCTCAGCCAGATGTTTTAGAGACATGCCAGCAGCATCTGGCAAAGCCTTGCCTGGTGTCCAGAAGGTGCCAGAAAGGGCTGAAGTGCAGCCCCATAGCACCCCACTGCAAGGCTCGTGCCAGGCATCCATGTCTGGCTTTCGGGGCTTGACTCAAAGAGCGCTTGGAGCCAGGCAATAACTGCTGAGCAGTGGGATGGGGCAAAGCCTTTGGCTTGAATTAGCTAAAGAAACACTGCCACAGATCCCAACAGCCTACAGGGGCCACAAATGTGCCATAAACTGGGACAACAAGGAGGATAATTCCTCCTGTGGCAGGAGGAGCTCCCTGCCAGGGCCAGCATCCCGCTGCAGCATGCTTGGGGTACAGTAAGCATGAGACCCCTCCCTGTACCCCCTCGTCCTTGCACAGGTCTGGGGAGCACCATGCGGCGGTACAAACTAGCCTGGGGGAGATGGGTCTCCCCCCAGTGCTCTTGGTCACCCCACTCCACCCTGGCCACAGCAGGGAATCTGCTCATGTTTTTTTGGGTTTTCATTTTGTAGTTCAGAATAAAGGGACAGTGTCCCCTAGTTAAAGGTCAAGCATGTTTTTCTTTAATTCAATACAAAATGTTATCATCTACTGCATCTGAGTTTTTGGGCACACACATCCTCTCTTCTGCCGAGTAAACACAGGATACGTGTATGGCAGTATCACCCTTCACAAGACATTCATTTTGGCTACATCAAGCCTGCTGTTATAAACATCACAAACATCACCTTTCAAGGGCTCCTAAATCTACCTCCCTTGAGACAGAAATGTGGCATGCACCCTCAGAGAGCAAGCAAATATTGCTGTGGTTGCTGATTCAGTTGGGCTTTCTAGATTTTCAACCAGATATTACAGAAGTGTAAAAATAAAACAAATTGAACGACTGAGATGCCGCAAGCCAGGACTTGAGGCTGTGAGTTTTGCCCTGTGCTGCTGGCAGGCAGCTCTCTGCTTGTTTGTGTCCGTGCTTGGCAGAGCCAAGGAGGGGAAGGGCTCCTGTTCCCTTGCAGACAGCTGAGACCTTTAAACCTTTCAGCTCCGTGTCCCCCCAGAAGTCCAACCTGCCTCTGTGGGTGCGTGCACAGGGGAAGGTATGCAAGGGTAGTGAATATCCTCTGGTAGGAACTTAAGCACATTTATCATCTGACAACAGCCCATGGAGATTTGATAAATGCTTGGAGTTTCTATTACAGCTGTATGTTAGGAAATTGCTTTATGTCAGCTTGGCTTTTTATCTGGCTGTTGCTGGTTTGTTCATCTGGAGGTCATAAGCTCTTACTCTGAGAGAGGGTTAAATTTGCTAATGTAGCATTGCTGACCATCCGGAAATGAATGTGGTAGCTTAAGAAAATAATGAAATTTAAAAAAAAATATTTAGGATCCTTTTTTTCCACTTTGAAATGATTGAATCTTAAAGATGCACTCAGTTGATGTTTTCAAGTTTCCTGTTAGGACCAAACTTCACAACTTCTTTCCAACATGAAAGCTGAGACTAATTTATATCCATGGGACTCTAGCAGCTGCATTTCAAGAAAACACCAAGCTTTTCACTGTAAATCAGGAAAGCTGGCAAGGGGGTAACACCCAGTGTGTCAGACACTTGGATTGTCCCTAAAGACGATTGCACTTCCACCCTTCCGCTGATGTCTGAGCAATCTTCATTGATTCTGTGATTAATGTTGTCTTTTCCTCTGCTGGGGAAAATCAGTGAAGCTCCTCTGAAGTTAGCAGAGTCACAAAGCTGCGTGTCAGGTGCAGGGCTACCCTGCACCATCGGTGTCCGACAGCTTCCACGGCATTCCTCCAGGTTTGTATTAAGGCTCTCTTGCTTGCGCTTGCGTTGCATATGGAAAAATAAACCGCCTGTATCTACATAATTATACATTTATGGTGTTTTACCAATATCCAAAGTCTTACTGTGCTTAAACAGCAAAGTCCTGCCTAACGCTGCTGATTCATCCGACCCTTGCATCTGACAAGACTTCCTGACTACAGCTGTGCTATCACGGCACCTTGTCTTCAAAGCCAGTGACAGTCACTCCGGTGGAGATGAAAGAAGACTGCAAACACTTCATCAATGAATAACCTTTCTGTGTGATCCCACCTCACAGACAGCCCTGTCCCCCCAAAGGAAGCTCCTAGTGCTGCACACGTAAGGGACGTCTCAGCACTGAAAGCTGACATTTCGATCGGTGATTTCCAAGTGATCTGTGCACCTTACAGAAAGAAATCCCTTTATCTGAATTAGTTGGTAACTGTTGGTTTATTCTGGAGTTGTAAAGAAAGGTGTGTCAGCTGGAGCTTAGTTTTGCTCTACTGAAGAAAAACCTGAGTCTGCATCTCCTTGGCTGTAGCGGAGACCGCATGCGCTATTTAGCCACCACTGGTTATAGACCATTTCAGTGAAAGAAGATGAGAAAAAATTATGAAGCCAAAGCTGCTCTCCCACTGCATAAGAGAAGCTCTTCCAAATCTTGTAGCTGCAAATTAGTGTTGCTTTCGAAGAGACATCTTCCCTTGAGTTTAGATTAAAAATTGAGTACAGTATCATGACTCAAATTAGATTTAAATGTGTCTTTATGGATTCAAATTAGCATTAGTTTTGAAAAGATATGTCATGTAATTATGGTGTGATATGCACCTCCCTCCCTTCCTCTGGGAACAGACTGAGACTGGTAAAGCTGTAAGACTGCTATTACACTTCATAAAGAGGAATGTATCTTTGAAGGTCTATAGAATGAACCCAGTTTTTCTCTACAAAATTCAAATTTGATGGAGATTGCTGTTGGAATCCAAATAACGTAACAGCCAATAATTTAATCAACACTGGGCTGCAATCTCAGCTCATTGGCATAAGAGGACTGAGGGGTGGGAAAGAAATCTGTGTAAACACAGTGGGGATGTACTGCTCAGGGATTCAAACCTACCGGGATTGAGGATGGGACAAGTGCAGCCTCTGTTAGTCCAGGATTCAGGGTAGAGTGTCCTCTTGCCCCGGAGGATCTTTAGCTTTGTAGATTTCAAGACTTTCTTGATCTTCACATTGACTTCTGCATGGGAGCCTTTGTCATGAGCTGACAAGATCTTCGTCTTGATCACTGGGGAGACACAAATTCAAACCCAGGAATATATAGATTACTCACAGTGCTCTCTGTTTTTTTGGTCTAATGCAGGTGTCTGGGTGAAGCAGTGAGGACAATTAGTTTGTTACAGTGGAGTTAGCCTGATGCTCCTTGCTGGGGAGCTGGGGTCAGCACAGCCGCTGGGGGCACATATGTTCCCATACCCATGGGCAGCAATGCTGCTGGTTGGTTTGGCCATGGCCCCTGGACCTGCCACGTAGGCAGCAGGAGAGGTCCAAGGACCTGATTTTCAAAACTTGTGAGGGCCCTATTTTCTCCTGGGGCTCAGTAAAGACTTTGGCTTCCTTAGCACTTCTGGAAATCAGGTGGAAAGACTTGCTTTTAGGGATGGACCTGGAGGCTTTGCTGGCTTTGCAGGCCAGGCAGCAGAGGCAGGGGCGTGAAGGGCTGCCCCCATCCCACCCTGGTGACCATAATCCCTGCTGCCGTTCCTTCCGCTTTGCAGAACTGCCAAATCTAAATGCAGTGATGTAGATTGAGACGGTGTGGACTGAGGAAAACTGCAGAATATTTTGAGCTCACAGATACCCACAGGGACAGCCCTGCCACCTGGTATCCCACCTGCTGAGCCCCTGTGCAGTGGAGGCTCACGTCCCACATGTGAGCCTCCTCCCGACTGTGCTGATGCCTACACTGATAGGTATCGCTGTATGGTGGTGCTTTATTCAGCTGTGCATGTTAGGAAGCTCGGTGAAACCTCTCCTCCAACAGCTTCCTGAAGCTCATGATGAGCCCCATAATTCATAGGATTTTAGAATCATAGAATAGTTTGGGTTGGAAGGGACCTTTAAAGGTCATCTAGTCCGGTGGATGTCCCCCTGCAATGAGCAGGGACATCTTCAACTAGATCAGGTTGCTCAGAGCCCCGTCCAACCTCACCTTGAATGTTTCCAGGGATGGGGCATCTACCACCTCTCTGGGAAACCTGGGCCAGTTTCCCCACCCTCATTGGGAAAAACTTCTTCCTTGTATCTAGCTTTAATCTACCCTCTTTTAATTTAAAACAATTACCCCTTGTCTTATCGCAATAGGCCCTGCTAAAAAGTCTATCACCATCTTTCTTAAGCCCCCTTTAAGTACTGGGAGGCTGCAAGAAGGTCTCCCCGGAGCCTTCTCTTCTCCAGGCTGAACAACCCCAACTATCTCAGCCTGTCCTCACAGGAGAGGTGTTCCAGCCCTCTGATCATTTTTGTGGCCCTCCTCTGGATCCTCTCCAACAGGTCCATGTCTTTCCTGTGCTGAGGGCTCCAGAGGTGGACACAGGATTCCAGGTGGGGTCTCACCAGAGTGGAGTAGAGGGGCAGAATCACCTCCTTCAACCTGCTGGCCACACTGCTTTGGATGCAGCCCAGGACATGGTTGGCCTTCTGGGCTGCGAGTGCACATTGCTGGCTCATGTCCAGCTTTTCATCCACAAACTCATCTGTCTCTCCAGTTTAGCTGACACCTTTGCATGTTGAGTGATGAAAGGGGGGGAAGCCTGAGTGCACTTTAGATAAAATTTATGAACTTGGGGTTTTTGTGACTTTTTTTTTTTTTTAATTTCTTATCTTTTTCAAGATTAGACACAGTCACTATCACAGCCAGGGAGCAAAGCAAAGCAGAATCAGATTTTTTCCTAATACCACTAAGCCAGGGCTGTATTTCAACAGCTGGCGGCCTCTTGAACTTCCCTTTGCGGGTTGCTCCGCAGGCTGCAGAGGTAGGCGTTATCTCTCAGTGCATTTTCAACTTCAGTGCGAGACGAAACAGGTGCAAGAGACCCCTGGAAGACTATGAAGGAAGGGAGTGCTACACAGAGCATTCCTTGCTCTGCTGTGGCACGAAGGAGGCGGTTCACTGGCACACGCCGGAGAGGTCTTGGGAAACAAAGTGCCTCCTCTCACTCATTTAAATCCAGTAGACACATAGACAATATACATCACCCCATTGCAACAGCTGAGCTTTGCTGACCGGGGGAAGCTCCCAGTGGCTGCTGGAGCAGTTTTCTCCATGTAGTGTCTTGTGTGGTGATCCCTGTCCCTCCTTACATTCAGTGTAATTCAGATTTAGTGATTTCTAGACCATGCTCAGGGCACCTGGCCTACAGACAGAGTTTCAGTGACCTGTTCTTGGTTACAGTGCTTCACAGTCTTTCTTGGACCTGGACAACCTCTCAGGAACAATTCCAGCTCTTGTCCTCCCATGATTTTGGCACAAGGGTATTTTGGTAGCAAGCGAGGTGGGTGACAGAGTAAGGTGCTTCAACCCACCTTGACTTGGCACCGTGATATCTATTTGGAAAGATCAAAGATCTGCCATTAGACTAATTAATCCATGGGTTTGCTGGGACGGAGCGGTGCACACAGCAGCTCCTCTCACGCTCTACACACTTGCACCGCCTCGCAGCACCTCCCTTTATGCCTCCACCACCCCACCCACAACTCACCATAGGTGTACTTCATCCCGCAGAAGACCTTGGGATTCCCTAAAACTTGCTCTTTACATTCGCATTTACCTGGGGAAGGAGAAGGAAGCAAATGGCTGTGAATTGTACTTAAAGGAGCCTTCACAGGCAGAGCCTGGGACTTGCCAGAGGTTTTCCTGGGATCCACAAGACCCGTGCAAAAAAACCCTATTTTCAGATCCAAGCTGAATATACAATCTTAGTCCAAGGGCAATTATTTCTTGTTTATAATTTGAAGAGAAGGGAAACAAGGGCCTTATTATTTTGCCTTGGGATGCAAGTAACACGCATGTCTCTCTCCATGGTATTTTCCGCACCATAATGTACCAGACAAAATTTTAAAAGGAAATGTTGCAGAGGTTAAGGCAGATTAATGACTTCCGTGATCTTAGAACAAAGAATAACATGATATACTTATTTACGTTTAAAATGAAGTTGCCCAGACGAATGATGGAGCTTTCCCCTCAATTAACCCAATTATTGTATCTTTGAGATTTTATCATGCTGCTTGCAGAAAACACAGGAAATTACGCTTGCCTGCTTGCATGCAGCCACTGCAAGGGAGGACAGCTCGACGCTGCGCCGTGGGGCCAGTGTGCCTCGCAGCAACCACACGCCGCACCCAGCTCCTCCAGACTGGGGGGCAATAACTTCCCCAGCTGAAGGCGCAGCTGAAATACAAGGCAATCTCTGATTGCATCGTAAGCTGCAATTGATGCCAAAATTGTTGTGGGAATTGGGGACATAAATTCTGAGTTAGGAATTTCCTAATTCCCTGCCAGCGAAGTGGCAAACTCCAGCCTCTAAATAATGTTGCTGGTTTGTCCAACATGTAGTAGTTCTAGTGAATAAAAAGACACATCTAAAACATGATGGCCAAGTAAAACATGAGCGTATTCAGCCTTGAAATTCAGAGCTGGGACTGCAAATTGAGGCAGGTAACTCTTGCCTTGCCGACAGCTAAACTCTGGGTGCCGGCTTTCAGCGTGGAGCGTCTGCCTACAGAGTTTACACATCAATAGGATGAGCCACAAGGCTCCTCCAGCTCCTGGAGGGGAAGGAGGTAGTTGCACAGAACATTAATGGGGGAATGTCCATCCCTTCCTGCAACTGCCAGGGCACTAATTACAAGCCAGTGCAGAAGACCGTATCTGCACTGGCTGCTGGCAGGAAGGATGGGGCAGGGAAACACATGCGAAGCCGCCATCCTACCGGAGTGCCGGAGTGCCGAGAAGCCCTGCTCGTCCTCCCAGCCCCAGGTGGGCTCACTGTCATTGAGGACTGCCTGGAAAGGAGGTGCTTCGTGGTGCCAGGTCACGTCCGAGCTGTTAGGGGGAAAGGAAGATGGTCAGCCTTCCTCATGGAGCCAGCGGAAAGCAGGGCCAACGCCAACCCAACACAACTTGACTGAACGTCTTGGTGATGTTAAACGCAAAGGGGCAGTTTTGGAAAGTGAAAAGGCTGAGTGTTGTCAGAGTGGGCCACGAATCCATTTTTGGGTTTAAAATGTGTTATAGGGATTTATAAATACCCGTAGCATGGTAAAAAAAAGCAACATATAATTCCAGAGAGTGGGGTATTATTAAAATAGGCTGTCTTCTAAAAGTCAGAGCCTGACTCTAAGTCCAGCGCAGTCAATACAAGCTGAGTTGCAACGGCAACAATATTAACCTTTCGGTCTCCTCTCACTCAGATCTCCCCAAGGCTCACATTTTGCTCATGGAGAGGAAGCAACGGTTGAAGGTTATGGAAAACACCCGCCCCGAGATCTAATAATCCAACCTCGCCGGTGCCCTGCCACGGTGTGCCAGGCACCCAGGTGAACTGCAGCTGCAGCTCCCGCTCCATCCCCAGTCCCTGACCATACCAAACCCCAAATATTTTATATAATGGATATTTTTCAGACCTGCGTGCCATCTGTAAATCAGGTCAGAGCAGTGCCTTCCCTGGGATGGAGATCGCAGGGGTATTGCTGAGGCCAGGGGGTGGCCGGGGCCCCCCAACTCACCTGCTGCTGTGACAGTCGCCGGTGCGGGGGTCGCAGCTGCGGGCGCAG